CCACCTCAGGCAGTTTTGGGAAGCCCCCCAAGTATGGACGCTGATAGGTTGGCTGGTGTGGATTTAGAAAGGATAATAAAGAATCTCAGAGAATTCATACATGGAAAGAAGTGACTATGCTTAGCTGGGAAATGAAGACTAACCACAAATGCCAAACAATTAGAAAATGTTGGGAGGAAGCACATTTCCGCCTTAGATGCATTGACATATGATGAGCAATGGCTTTGTCTGGGTGAAATTACAATCTACTGGCTTCAATAGCTACATTCCCATTGATTTGAACACTGTTGGATTGCATTCCTCAAGAACAATTTGATACAGTGGTGCCCCGCAAGACGAATGCCTCGCAATAGGAAAAACTCGCTAGACGAAAGGGTTTTCCGTTTTTTGAGGTGCTTTGCAAGACGAATTTCCCTATGGGCTTGCTTCGCAAGACGAAAACGTCTTGCGAGTTCTTGCGAGTTTGTTTCCTTTTTCTTAAAGCTGCTAAGCCGCTAAGCCGTTAATAGCCGCTAAGCCGCTAAGCCGTTAATAGCCGCTAAGCCACTAATAGCTGTGCTTCGCAAGACGAAAAAACCGCAAGACGAAGAGACTCGCGGAACGGATTAATTTTGTCTTGTGAGGCACCACTGTAATGCAAGAAGCACCAAGAAAAGTTATCAATTTTCGCCCTTAAAGTTTTCATGTAATGGTTGACAGGTAACTTCCAGCAGGTATAAAACCTAATAAAACATTAAACAATAAAAAAATATATTCCCCATACAGGAAAGACTTTCAGATGTCTTCTAAAGGTTGTATAGATACTTATCTCCTTGGCTCAGGGGTTGCATAACTCTATACCTCCCAACATTTCTCCAATGAAAATAGGGACATCCTACGGAAAAGCGGGACGTTCCAGAATCAAATCAAAATCTGCAATGGCTTCTGTAAATCCAGCACTGTCCCTTGGAAAATAGGGACACTTGGAGGGTCTGTTGTAGATTGTTTCTTTGATTTCTCCCTGTTGCTCTCATATGGCTTCAGCTTGACTGATGATAGTGTGAATATCCATACAAGGAGCGACCGTGTGTGTGTGTGTGTGTGTGTGTGTGTGTGTGTGTTCAACCTGGCATGCCTCTGTGTCAAGAAAAAGTGTGGCGGATCCTTATCGAAGAGATGTTGCTTGCAGATGACTCAGCCTTGACAGCACAGTCCAAGGAAACTCTACAGAGACTCATCAACCATTCTTCCCAAGTCTGCAGGGAGTTCAGCCTTGCCGTCAGCCTGATGAAGACCAACATATTAGGTCAGGACATCGCCAGCACTCCATTTATCTGCACATGCTTTGCCAAAAAGGCATAGGGGGATGCAATGCTAATGTCCAATACCAAGATGAAGGTCTATCAGGCTTGTGTGTTGAGCATGCTGCTTTATGGAAGTGAGTCGTGGGCAGCCTACAACTATCAGGAGTGATGCCTCAGCGCCTTCCACATGTGCTGCATCAGGAGGATTTGGGGGATCACATGGCAGGACAGGATTCCAAATAAAGATGTCCTCCCTGTCGGGAGTGTGTGCAGGAGCCAGGCCCTGTGACCAGTAGGGCTTCGCAGGACTGGGGCCTTCCTAAGTTTGTTCTGGAGAGGCAAGGCGCAGCCGCACAGGTGAGGCTGCTTAGTAACTCGCTGCACCTGGTGGCAAGAGCCAGGAAGGAATATAAGGTCAGCATTTCCCTTTGGCTCTTTGCCACAGCAACACGTTTCCTGCCTTGCTGCATTTGGTTTCTTGACTCCTGATCCTCGGACCTCGGCTTCTTGACTCCTTGCTTCTCGACCCCCGGACCCTTGTCTTTGTGACTCCTTGCTTCCTGACCCTCGGACCCCTGGCTTCTGGACTCTCATTCCTGCTCCCACCCCGCCATCTTGCCCCCGGTCCCGACGTCCTCAGCCAGGACTTCGATCGCCCGTAGACTGGACCATGACACTCTCTCAAGACCATATTACCAGCATGTTCACACTTCTGTCTCAGTGAGGTCTACACAGGCTTTGTCACTTCCACAGAATGGAAGGTGGCAGGATCCCCAAGGACGTGCTCTGTAGGGAGCTGGCTCCCAGCACCAGGCCAATTGGCAGACCAAATCTGTGTTACAAAGATGTCTGGAAACATGACATGAAGGCTGGCAACATCAACCTTGCCATGTCGGAATTCCTTGCAGACAACCGCAGTGCTTGTAAGACAGGCAGTGAAGTTGTGCATCCATAGCAGTGACGAGAAGAGAAATGGCCACTGGGAGGAGTGCAGATAAAGAAAACGCCATGGTGCATCTGCAGCAGCACAACCCAACACCATCATCTGCCCCAGCTGCAACAAAACATGTCTCTCCAGAATTTCGAAAAGACCCCAAAATTGTTGAACCTCTTAGGAAACCACCAAAATTGTTGAGTTTTTTTGGGGAACCTTTAAAGCTTTTTCCATCGCATTGCCATATATCTGGGTTTTCCTTGACATTTTGCCAATTCACCAAAATCCACCCCGACACCATTTTTACACCCCAAAACCAGGACATGTCAGGAATTTTTGTGACGTACAGCAAGCCTATCCCATATCAGTTTCTACAGCCACAGCAGGCACTGCAACCATCCAACAGCTTGACCTCGCACCCAAAGGCACACTCTTCCAATGGCCATTGGCCACCATGTACAACAAAAGAAAACCATGAACAGCATAACAAAACCCATCATTTTTCTATTTTTTCCTCAATACTTAGGAATTTTTCTTCTTTAAGAGTTCTTTGCTCCAGCATTCAGATAATGCAAACTGCTGTCTCTGCAGATGCAACCTGAACATTTACCTTACCTAGCATTTTCAATGGGAGTCATTCATATCTACTTTGACAGGCAATCTCTCTTCATTAAACAAATGAGTGCATGGACAGAGTCACCTGAATAAATTATTTAGTAAATGTTTTTTATTATTATTAGTATTTTCATAACCTCTCTAACCTGCCACAAGCCTGAATACATTGCCAAAAATTATGCTACATCTTTTCAAGTTGCAGGAAGCGGGCAATGTATTAAACTGCTGTGGTTAACCGGCTATCACAATCACTTCACTCCCATAAATGACTGCACCTTGAAACAGAAGCGCAACAAAACCCCAAACACATTAGCACTGGGACCTACAAGATGGCTGCATCCGCTGGCAAAAGGACTGCAGTTCAGTGGAAGAGCATCAGCCTGCTCAGGCAGAAAGTTGCAGTTGCCAGCATATCCAAGTGCAGCTGAAAGGCAACCCTGTGTGAAATCTTGCAGCATACTGCTGTCCGTCCGTATGGACAATTCTGAGGTAGATGAAATTAATGGTCTGACTCAGGACTCTAAAGAGAAAGGATTTGATGAAAGTGGATCAAAGTTTGAATTAGAGATATTTAATGACACAGGTGGCGCTGTGGGTTAAAGCCTCAGCGCCTAGGACTTGCCGATCGAAAGGTCGGCGGTTCGAATCCCCGCGACGGGGTGAGCTCCCGTCGTTCGGTCCCAGCGCCTGCCAACCTAGCAGTTCGAAAGCACTCCCGGGTGCAAGTAGATAAATAGGGACCGCTTACTAGTGGGAAGGTAAACGGCGTTCCGTGTGCTGCGCTGGCTCGCCAGATGCAGCTTGTCACGCTGGCCACGTGACCCGGAAGTGTCTGCGGACAGCGCTGGCTCCCGGCCTCTAGAGTGAGATGAGCGCACAACCCTAGAGTCTGTCAAGACTGGCCCGTACGGGCAGGGGTACCTTTACCTTTAATGATTCTAAAATTTTGTCTAAAATGTATAAATTGCTGCTTGAATGGCATCTGAAGGACGAGGAGGTTAAGTCGGTTATGATTCATTGGGCCAAGGATTTTGGGTATAATATACAGCTGAGTGATTGGGTAAAATTATGGAAAGGAGGTTTAAAATTTACTGCATGCAGTGCCTTAAAAGAAAATGTGATGAAAATGATGTATAGATGGTATATTACACCTGTCAAGTTAGCGAAAATGTATAAAGTCATTAATAAATGTTGGAAATGTAAAGAAAAAGAAGGAACATTTTATCACATGTGGTGGGAATGTAAAAAGGTGAAAAGCTTCTGGGAGATGATATATAATGAGATGAAAAAAATGTTGAAATATACATTTATAAAGAAACCAGAAGCATTTTTACTAGGCATTGTTGGGAGTGATATAAATAGAAATGAATATAAGCTCTTTTTATATGCAATAACAGCAGCAAGAATATTATTGGCCCAAAAATGGAAGCAAGAAGAATTACCGACGATTGAAGAATGGAGGATGAAATTAATGGACTATGCAGAACTAGATAAACTAACAGAAAGGATTCGAAATCGGCGGGACCAGAAATTCACGGAAGACTGGAGTAAATTCACGGACTATTTAAAAAGTATTTGTGAAGATCAGACGACGTTTGTAGGTTTGCAATAAGTTTTGTGAGGAGTATTACTGGAAGTATTGCCAAAATGGATAAGGGGAAGGATGATTTGTTAAGAGATGTAAAGGCAATATAAAGTTAAGAAATGCATAAGAAGTGTTTAAAACGGTGGCTTATCAGAGGTGCTGATGGAAGTCAAAAAAGATTGTATAAGTCATAAGTTTTGTACATTTTATAATTTATATGTTAAAATCAATAAAAATTTTATATATATATATATATATATATATATATATATATATATATATATATATATAAAGGAACTAATGGTCTGACACAGTATAAAGTTGCTTCTTGTGTACTCTGAGGAAGAAACCATATATATCATTTAATCTGTGGCTGCCTCCTTCTCTGAAATACCTGACTTTACTGTAAATCCCTCTTCTCCCCCTAAGTTCGCTTACTGCCACCGTGTGTGGTTAAGACTGAATTGGTAGTTTGGTCAACTTCCGTGCATGAAATGCAGTGAGGAACATCGCCATCTTAGGCTTCACCTAAGGCAGCAATAAGTCTCGGGCCAACCTTGCAGAGAAAGTACTTAACACTTACAGATTGAACCACATCAGGGGTTGTCAACCTTTCAGGGACAATGGGCACGTTTGGTATTTTGAGAAAGTGCCACAGGCACCAGTCCCAAAATGGCTGCCATCAGGGTACAGCCTAAGACAAAATGGCTGCCATAAGAGCAGAAAAAATAAACATCATCCACCTCCTTCAGCAGGGAAAACGTGCCTATATATATATAGGGTTGGGAAATCGACAAAAAATAGGCAAAAAGTGATACTCAAACACGCACTTCCTGGTTCTGTTTGCAAAAACCCAGACATTTTGCCAATTTCCCAAAATTCCCAGCTGGGCACTGATTTTGCCATTAGAATCCTGGACATGTCCAGGGGGAAAACAGACCTATGGCAACCCTACTAAATTAACCACACTATGCTTGCTCAGAAAGAGAAGCTTTTTATGCCTCTCCTCTTTTCGGAATGGATGTGTCAGTGTCCAATCTCAGCATCCGGTGAAAAAAGGATGATTGTTCAATGTAGAAAAGGCTGAGCCAGTTGAAACAGGAAGAGCAGACAATTTCTCATTCATGGTGGATATTTGAGAAGGTATCTGCGAAGACCTTTCATAGGTGCCATACTGACAGACACAACATTGGCAACCCCTGTACTAGATGGAGTGATGCAACCTCTCTCCAACCCAAAAGTCTCCCATGACAAACATTTAATATATGCACCTCACCTAAGCACTAAGCAACATACAATCCTAAGAGCGACAAGATGCACTAAGGTGATGAAAAGAATGAGATTGTGTATAGCTATGAATAAAAACCATGCTGGAAAAATCTGTTTCATGAAATCACTGTTCTTCATCTGCACAGATATAGGCATTTTTGGCATGGGGTTGGGTTGATAATGCAAAAGAAAACTATCAAATGTTACTAATCCATCAGGGATAAAATTGTCACTTCTAAGGGAGAGAAAACTTAACATTTGGGCAGACTGAAAAGGCGTCTAGTGTATTGTGAGAATTCAGTTCATACCGATGTTTAGAATTAAAGCACAGCTATTTTTAAAACTGATATCCAAGACAAAAAAAGTCTCTCAAATAATTGTCCAGTTCTCTTTATATGCGGCAACTATGATTGGTGCACATAGTTCACAACTATGTAATTTTTGAAACTCTGGGAAATAGGTCTTTATAGGTTTAAAATATGATTGTATAAAAGCCAGAAGTTGATTCTGAAACATATTGTCAGTCTTCTGGCATGCTGCTGGCTTTGCTTCTCAAATGAGCATGACAGCAAGTATCCTCTGCACATGGGTACTTTGGGTTTCCAGGAGTCGTTATTTAATATATTTCTCATAGCGTGTTAGTGTGCTCCAGAACACAGCTTGGAAATTAGGGCTCCGGTTGATAGTCCTCATTCAACCTTCTCCAGCAGGCAGGCTGTTTCTGCCTTGGCCATTAGCAAATTGTGCAAACAAAGAAAGCCCTTCTTTGATGGAGTGAGACAACAGCACAAAACAAATTGAATTTCCCTGACAACATATTGTTAGACAATAAGCCCACATGTCACGGGAGCTTTTAGGATGTGATTGATGACTTAATGGTTGTCTGATGTCATAAGGCAACCGGCCCCCCAAAAGACTGCTCTGAAGCTCTCGCCACCACTCAGGGTAGGGCAATACCACGATGGAGAGATCCTAAGCGCTTCCTATTGTGCTAATCTTGTTAGAAACTGGAAAGAAGGTATTCCATAAACCCTCTTTGACCAAGACCTTGATTTCTTCTGCAAAATGTTGCTTCACTTTGCAAACAAATTTGAGCAAACTCATAACGTGCCATATGGGTGTGCATGAATATTTATGTGTGGAGATGAGCGCTCTCACTTTTGTTGCTGCCTTATTAGAATTCTGCATAAAAGTTTGACAGCCTAGCTGGCAGCTGAGAGATTAGTCAATCAATTGTATTAATATTAAAGTTTTTATTTGGTGTGGGAGGCAGATTCAGAAACCACATCGTCTCCTCTCCCACATGAAATTCTAGTCACTGGTTTTATTAATGGGAAGATGCATTAGCTTTGACTTGGTTGTTTCTAAAATTTGTTTTCTTCAGCTCTCTATTCTAGACTCTAGTCTCAAATATCAACTTGTTTCTCATCTCCATTCTTAAATTTCTTTTCTAAACCTCATGAACGCTATTCCAGAGAAGCATCAGCAGTGAGATGGAAAACTTAGTGAGTCCTACTTAGGTTTCACCCCCACCTCCCCGCTGCATGCAAAAATCAACTTCTGTTTCCATTTTTAGCTGGAAGGCACAGAATCCCTAGAATAGGGGTGGCCAATATGGTGCCTTTGATATAATCAACCCTAGCCAGCATGTGAGGAATGATGGAAGTTGCAGTCCACAACAACTGGAGGGCATCAGATTGGCTAACCCAGTGGTAGCCAATGTTATGGCTTCCAGACGCTGTTGGACTACAACTCCCATCATGCAATGCTAGTTGGAGCTGATGAAAGTTGGAGGGCAACGTGTTGGCTACTCCACAAGTAAGCAATAGACTGGAGGAGCCTGTGGTGTGCATGCATGCACTTCCAAAATGCCTGCATCAGGAATTTGACGATCCCATGCAAGGCACCCTCAGGGTGGGGCCAACATCCTGAAGCCCATTTCTGCCAGCTACTGTGGTTACTTCTCACCGATGTTGCCTGTTTGCTTGACAGCAAGAGAACTGGAGGGTAGGGGAGTGAGTGTGTGATACCAGCTTCTTCTTCTTCTAACCCTGTTGCTCATCCCCTTTGGATAAGTGAGAAAGAACAGGCGGTGACAGGGAGAAACTACAGCAGCAACAGAATAATAGTAACAATAACTTATCACTTACACCCCTTCCATCTGACTGGGTTGCCCCAGCCACTTATGGGACCAGTAGTGACTACTGACTACAACTCTGATAGCCCCAGTCTGGCCAATGGTCAGGGATGGTGGAAGTTGAAGTCCAAAATTAGTAGAGGACACCAGATTGGCAGAGGATGAACTAAACCAGGGGTAGGTAACCTAAAGCCCGGGGGCCGGATGCGGCCCAATCACCTTCTCAATCCGGCCCACGGATGGTCCAGGAATCAGCATGTTTTTACCTGAGTAGAATGTGTCCTTTTATTAAAAATGCATCTCTGGGTTATTTGTGGGGCATAGGAATTTGTTCATATTTTTTCCCCAAAATATAGTCCGGCCCCCCACAAGGTCTGAGGGACGGTGGACTGGCCCACGGCTGAAAAAGCTTGCTGACCCCTGAACTAAACTAAGGCTGAAATCCTGCACCATGTTCCCAGAGAGTAGGCATTACTGAACACACTGAGATTTGTAAGCATGCATAGGATTGCAAGAATAATGTGCTATTGAAGCATGCTCCAACACATGGCTTGGGAAAGGGGTGTTTGAGGTTGCCATGGTGCTCACGGGCATCATTTTTCCTAAGAATTTACTTTTTCAAAGTAGGTGCAGTACAACTACAATGTAGTCGGGTCAAATATGCATATTTCCATCTTACGCATCATCTGGGGAGTGTTTACAGTGGGTGACTCCCCTACAGTTGAGTTTGAGCTAAGGATGTCGCCATTCAATCTCTTAGGCTGCCATGCTCAACCCACTTAACCTGGAATTAAGCCCATTGAATTGGATGGGAGACAGACATGTACAGGGCTATGCTGTTAATCACAATGCTATACTGCCGCTCCAGACCAGACCTTTAGCTTCCTAAGTTTGTTTTTTGTAAGTTGTAATTTGTCATCAGTGACAAATGTCTCTATCGAAGCGGTCTTGACAGAAGTGCCTCACCTATGCTAAATGGATCCTATTTAATCACTTGATGATACATATAAATCGACGTTACTTGCTACCATTTATCACCAGCTAAAAATATATATGTTTTAATGGTGGCAGCGTCCTTGGGGACAGATGCTTGAAAAGGAACACATCTTGAGATATATATGAAAGCACTGAAGGCTGTTATACCTCATGGTAAACAGCTGTTCCAGCATATGAGAATTCTGGAAGAATTAGCCCACTCCCTGCACCAAACTCACAACAGTATGTGCCATGCAGCCAGCCCCAGTTAACACTCAGCAGAACGGTGTGAACTGACTCTAGTTTCCAAGGATGTTTCAAAGGCAATGAGGGCGTAACCTGAGGTTTCAATTGGGTGTAAATTACTGGGGCCAAACCATTTCTATCCAGAAAAAGTGTGTGGCTTAAGGACCATCCCAAGCCAAAAAACCAACTGACCATTCAAGAGCATACCCATGGTCATACCCAGCCAAGTTTATCCTTGACGAAATCTTGGTGCAAATGAATTTCTCAGCCAGTAAGTGTTGCTGTCTGTTTGGCAGGCAGTGTTCTAATCGGATGTTCTTTTTATTTCATTAAAAATCTCTTCCAGTCTGATATGCAGAACCAGCAAAATAAATCACTGCTCATTTAAAGTACCGTATTTTTTGCTCTATAAGACTCACTTTTCCCCTCCTAAAAAGTAAGGAGAAATGTGTGTGCATCTTATGGAGTGAATGCAGGCTGTGCAGCTATCCCAGAAGCCAGAACAGCAAGAGGGATCGCTGCTTTCGCTGTGCAGTGATCCCTCTTGTTGTTCTGGCTTCTGAGATTCAGAATATATTTTTTCTTGTTTTCCTCCTCCAAAAACTAGGTGCGTCTTATGGTCTGGTGCGTCTTATAGAGCGAAAAATGCGGTATATTGTCTATTACATTTTCAACAGTGACAAAAATGAGTTTGCTATCTATTGGGTTGGACCAGTGCCGGATTTACGTGTAACTAAACAAGCTATAGCTTAGGGCCCCACTTTCTTGGGCTCCCCCCCATAAAAAAAATTTAAAAATATTTCACTATTCATATACTTCTTCTTAATTGTATTTCAGTTCAACATTTACTTCGATAAAATACATATTTTATTATGTTCAAATGGCTTTAGATACCTATTAGGTCCATGAATTACCATATAGCATATATTCAACACAAAAAACAGCGACAATTTGTTGTTGACAAAAGACAGCTGGACATATAAAGGGCCCCATTGCCTTCAGTAGCTTAGGGCCTCATCAAACCTAAATCCGGCCCTG